TTCAGGTCATAGCAAATACAAAGTACAGTTAAAAGCACCCAGACTGAACGGACTGTCTTGGAAAAGCAGCATTTCCTATCTTTACAAGTATTAAAATAAATAGCACAGGACCATTTTCCAGAATTTATGACTTGGAGAGCACAACTGGTCCCTTCAAAAGTTATGAGATGCATACCTTGAATGTAATTTTAATGTCAAAGGAAAAAGGACCTGCCCTCTTCACAGCCAGAGCTGACTCCAATCTGTTGAATTTCAAGGGCTCAAAGGTTGCAGCAGGACTTCCCTGGTGGTGCAGTAGTTAAGAATCCACCTGTCAATGGACGGGACACAGGTTCGAGCCCTGGTCCGGGAAGATCCCACATGCCGCGGAACAACTACGCCCATGCGCCACAACTACTGAGCCTGCGCTCTAGAACCCACGAGCCACAGCTACTGAGCCTGCATGTCACAACTACTGAAGCCCACGCACCTAGAGCCCATGCTCCACAACAAGAGAAGCCACCGCAATGAGAAGCCTGAGCACTGCAACGAAGAGTAGCCCCCACTCGCGGCAACTAAAGAAAGCCCCTATGCAGTGAAGACCCAATGCAGCCAAAAATAAATTAATTAATTTTTTTTAATAAAAGGTTGCAGCAACCTCCAAAATAGAAAGATGTACCAGTAATGAGAACCTCCTTTGAGTGGGATGATATAACCCATCTGCTGGCCAAATGCTTTAGCAGAGAGTTATGACCCGCCTGCCAGAAATTTGGTCCCAAGGTTGTACGGTTTGTTCAAACAAATTATTGTGTTCGATTTACAATCTGATCTACTGCTCTTTATTCCATATTTTGCATAGGCACTGAAAGTATTTCCCAGACTCATCAGCAAAGGGCATCAATAATAAAGTTAATTACCAGAACAAAACAGCAGGGGCTGAGATCATACACTCTTGCTAATTCACCTACAAATGGAAAAAGAAAGAAAGAAAGAAAAACCCACAAAAAAACAGTTGTCCTAGGGCAGAGAACATCCTGAGATGCACTTGTGGTCCATGTGAGACAAAGCTGCAAGGGTGAGGTGCCTGAGCCAAGATGACCTTTATTTCTCGATAATGGAAAACAAAAAAATCTTTTTAAAGAAGTCTGCTTAACCTAAAGGAGTGAAAATAAATCAATGTGGGACGCAAAATTAGAAGCAGACCTGACAAAGTGTGGAGGGGCTGAAAGGAAACAAATGAAAAGTCGTAACTGTAACTCATCCTCTTCAAGTACATGGAAACATTTGCTTCTCCCACTCCACATTGCCATGAACACATTATAATTATATACATTTTAAGAGGGCATTTTCTATTGTACCCAGGTAGCATAAAATGAGTACAATTAATCTGAGCAGCAGCCCATCCTCACCTGCCTTGAGAGTTTTATGGCATCTTTGCTGGCAGTTCAGAATCCTCCCCCACAACTTGCTAGTTCCCCACAATGTCCAACAAGTTGAAGTTGCCATATAAAAGATTACTATAAAACCAAATCAGCACATTAAACATTTCAGGGACATAAAATTAAATGTAGACGATGTGACATCTACAACTATAAATACCTTCTCCTATGGAATTACTACAAGATTCCAAAAGAAAGCTTCATTATTCACTGTGTGTCATAAAATGTCATAAACTATCATCTTTATATGAGAAATGTCTTATTTTTTTGGAGTATATTCCAGAAAATAAAAGAAATATTCTAGTATTCACTATGCCAAGTTAGAGATTAAAACAATATATTTGTATATACACATGACTGCTTTTTCCTTCTGCAGCCACTTTTTGTAATTTAATTTTTGGACTGGGTGATAAAGTGGGAAGTGATATTCTTTCCCAGCCCTTTCTCCCAGACATATAGCTGACTTTCCCTCAGGAGATACCAATGATATTGTTCTTATGGATGCGTCAAGAGATGTCAATGCATACAATGCCAAACACTTTATAATCTATACCCCATTTTGCTTCTTTTTCCTTTTTTCAATTTATTTACACTTAAAAAAAAAAACCAGTTCACCAATTTCTTCAACCCCTCAACTCCCCAACTTTTGGCAATCATGAATCTGTTCTCTGTGTCCATGAACATATATATATGTGTGTACATACATATGTGTGTATATATATGTATGTGTATATATATATATAGTGTGTGTATAAATATATATATGTTTTAAGATTCCACATGTGAGAGCAAACAGTATTTGTCCTTCTCTAACTTATTTCATTTAGCACAACGCCCTCAAGGTCCATCCATGTTGTCACAAACGGGAGGATTTCATTCTTTTCTATGGCTAATAATATTTCATTGTATATATATGTACCACAGCTTCTTTATCTGTTCATCTATCAATGGAAACTTAGGCTGCTTCAATATCTTGCCTATGGTAAATACTGCTGTGATGAACATGACTGTGCACATAGCTTTTCGAATTAGTGTTTTCATTTTCTTCATATAAATAACCAGAAGTGGAATTGCTGGATCATATGATAGTTCTATTTTTAATTTTTTGAAGAACTTCTATAATGTTTTCCATAGTGGCTGAACCAAATTTACATTCCCACCAACACTGCACAAGGGAACCTTTTCTCTTATTAGAGTCTTTATTTTAAAGTCTACATTGTCTGATATAAGTATAGCTACTCCAGCTTTCTGTTGGTTTCCATTTACATGGAATATCTTTTTCTATCCCTTCACTTTCAGTCTGTGTGTTTCCTTACATCTAAATGAGCCTCTTGTAGGCAGCACATAGATGAGTCTTGGCCTTTTTTCTTAATTCATTCAGGCACTTTATGTCTTTGGATTGGAGAATTTAATCCATTTAATTATTGATAGCCATGTGCTTATTGCCATTTTGTTAATTTTCTGGCTATTTTTGTAGTTAAATATTTTTTTGCATCTTTTTTTAAAAATTTACATATCTCTGAGATATCTTCAAATGGAATCCAGCAGCACAGTATTCCATTACATGGATGAACCATAATTTAATTACCACCATGCTAGTGGCAGACATTAAATTATTTGCAACCTAATACTGTACAAAAAAAAAATCTGCAATTGATAATGATGTATATAAGTAATTTCTTACATGTAAGATTGTATCTGTATAATAAATTCAAAATAGAATTTCTGAGTCAAAGGTTTCCTCCCATTCATTATCACTATTATTATTTGACTTTGTTTTTTTTTTCCGTACGTGGGCCTGTTACTGTTGTGGCCTCTCCCGTTGCTGAGCACAGGCTCCGGACGCGTAGGCTCAGCGGCCATGGCTCACGGGCCCAGCCGCTCCGCGGCATGTGGGATCTTCCCGGACCGGGGCACAAACCCGTGTCCCCTGCATCAGCAGGCGGACTCTCAACCACTGCGCCACCAGGGAAGCCCTTGACTTTGTTTTGACATATGATTTCTGCCAGGCAAAATTTCCTTTCCTACAATATTGTTTTTATCAGCCATTAACTCTTACATTCCTAGGTTTGTGTTATACTTTAGAAAGTCTTTCCACATGTTATAATTATAAAATAATTCTTCCATATTTTCTTCCGGTTTTTTATATATTTTTTTCATATTTATTTCTTTTATCATGTGGCTGAAGTGGAATAAATGAAATGCTGAGCCTGCTGAGGCTTTCTCTCATATTATTCCAAACAAGGAAGTCCTTGGGTTCCATTCTGAATTTTATAGATAGATACATAGATAGGTAGGTAGGTAGATAGATAGATAGATTTCTTTTCTAGATAGCCCTCTCATTTTATTTTATTTTATTTCATTTCATTTCATTTCAGTCTGCTCAGCACGCGGGATCTTAGTTCCCCGAGCAGGGATCAAACCCGTGCTCCCTGCAATGTTTTACAGAGAAATAGTAATTATTTCAACTATGATCGCAAGGTGACCTATGATTTTTTAAAGACAGAAAAAAAAAAACAAAAAAATGTCTCAAAATATACAAAGGCTGAGAACACTAAAAGTAACAGGAACATAATACTGTCCGGTAATTTGTTTTTCTGTAAGTAAAACTGGCTTTATAACACTATTTTGATTGGATATAAAGTCCCACATAAAAGGTTCTCTACCTGCTCCCATCTGCCACGCTGACAAAAACTCCCCTAAGATGGAATTATCTCTGACCCAGTCAGCTCCCTGTTGTCTAAGTGCCTGATATTCCTCCCTTCTTATATTTCTTCTTTCAGCTTTCAATAGTGACTTTCTTGAATTCTGAACCAGGTCATATGTTAAAAGACATACATGGATGATTCTCACTGACAAGTCATTGTTGAACAAGTCTGTGGCTGATCAACCTCAGGACCTTGAGATAACCAACCTCCCAGAATGGCCTCAGTCACATCAGTCATGGCTCATCAGAACCCCTGCACCACACTTCCAGATCTAGGTTGATTCCATAGGGTAGGGATGGTGTGGTGTGTGGGTAAGCATGCACCTCAACATGCGGCTCAGAACTCTTGAAGGACAGCAGCAGAAGAAATCTACCCAATTGACCTTTCACCCTATCTCATGCAAGACAATATAAAGCCCTGAACATGTTAACTTTTCTAAGTTCAGTGCCCATTATAATGTGTATGATAGGTCAGTTTTAACAGGAAGCCAAAGATCCTTCTGAACATGTGTTTATAGTCTCCCGGTGCCTGAAGTACAGTTTAATTCAAGTTTGAAATTGGGGGAAAAAAATTCAAAAAGATTGGTATCATATAGCAAACACAATTATATGATTAAAATAAGTCCTTATAAAGAGCCAGTCATTTTAAGTGTTTGATTTCAATCCATTATCATTCAGGCAATAAAGAGATAGAAAGATGTATACTGGTACATTACCTGTGTTCAAGTAAAATATTTAATTTGATATGTAACACATAGTTGACACTTACTTGTTGACTTTAATGGTTTCTGTGATAACCGCCCCCACCCCCACCCCAGGCCTCTAAACACCCACCCCTGAGGCCATTTAACCTCCATCCCAGAGTTCATACCAACCTCTTCTCAGTCCTCAGGTGCTTCCATGCCAAGCTCTTCTGCAGAGACAGGTTCCTTTCCTCAATAACTGGGTTGTCTGTCCTTCACTTTTCCCATCAGTGATCAGATACCTATCATGACATATTATTTCAATAGACGACTAGAATCTGGTTTTGTACCTTCTTCCTCAATTTTAGTTCCTGTCAAAATATTCCGGTCTCAGAGCCGGCACCCCAAACGCTTACCAGGAAAGGCCATACGTGCTGCCTCAGACTTTGCATGGCTCACCATTCTCAAGATTTGCCCAGTGCTAATGCTCACAACCTCCAAGTTCTCTGCTAACCTTCTACTGTCCAAAACTTACTCCACAAGAAGAAAATCTGAATCATGGACATAAGCATTCACTAACAGAGTTCCATTCCCCTGATTGTCCTTTATCCTGTAGACATGTTTCCTAGTTTCTTTTTCAGAGAAAAGTTTTTGTTTACTTCATTCTTGGAACATTCTACCTCTGGCCCTCCTACACCCATTTTAGTTTCCTCCCGTCTCTGGGGATTGCTGAACTTTGAAGATTCAACTGGTTCCTTAATTCAGACACTCCCAGTCTGGTCCATCATGCTGATGTCCTTGTCCAGCAGCTCTCAAACATCAGCTTGCATCAGAAATACACAAAGCCTTATTAAAACATGCATTTCTGGACCACACCCCCAGAATTTTTGATTTGTTATGTCTTAGGAGAGGTTCAGAAATAATTTCTGTGCACCAGGCATCAACACCAGGAGATGCTCATAATGCTGAACAAGGATCACATTCTAAGAACTACATCCTAGGTAGGCCAGTGAATATACACACTTCGGTATCTCTAATTCTAGATAACAGCCCAATGAAGAGGTTAAACAATGAAGAAAGAAATCAAAAGTAGTTGGGGGGGGGGGTAGTGCCATAGAAGAAAAAAAATTTAGGGGGCCTCAAAGATGGGATAAGACTTAGCTAGTCAGAAATGAGGAGGAAATAATAGTGTTTTCAGTATCCAGAACGACAGGAAATGGTTAATCGCAAATCATAATTTAGGAGTGAGAGAGACCAGCTGGCAGCTGAGATGTGGCAGACCATGGAGGCCAAGGCCAAGGGCACCGAGCTCTGTAAGGGACAGGAATGCCACAGAAGGGTTTGAGCAGAGAATTAACATTGTTAAGGTGCCATAATTTCATTCACTCCTTCAAAAAATATTTATTGTAGGCCTACTATATGCCAGACACTGTTCGAGAGTTTGGGGATTCCAGAGTGGACACAAGAGACAAAAAATAAATCTTTGCCATCATGGAGTTTACATTCTAATGGAGGGGGGCAAAAACCAAAACAAAAAATAACTTCATCTAACTTACACGGCTAAAGAGAAAGGAGGAAGGGGCATAGGGAGTCTTGAATTGTTGGCATTTGGGATAGCATAATCAAGTTTCACGGACAGGGTGATGTGAAGTGAAGGAAGTGAGTTAGCTCTGCAGGTATATGAGGGGATGCTTTCCCATAAGTGGAAAGAACAAATACAAAGAATCTGAATGAGCTAGTTTCAGGACTCATACATGCTTGGGGGAGAGAGGGGAGTACACTACAGGCACCAGAATACAGAGGAGACTAAGCAAGGGAGAAAATGAGATGCATCCAGAAATCAGAGTGACTAGATTGTGCAGGGCCTAGGAGGTCATTGCAAAGATTCTGGCTTCTACTCCGAATGCAATGGGAAGCTCTTAGAGGATTTTGAGTCAAAGGACGCCATAATAGTTGTTCAAATACTAATACTATTACTATTACAACTACCACTGTTGCTGCTGCTGATACTAATAATAGTGTCTACCATGTAGTTACTATTAACTCTTTTAATCCATACACTACAGCTATTCCAATTTTATATTTAAATATGTTGCCCAAGATTAAACACACCATAAATGTCAGGACCTAGATAAGAACCCAGACAGCCTGGCTCCAGAGTCTGTGCCCATAACTGCATTACAATACTGCATTCCAAAATCTGACTAAAGTTTAAATCTGACAAAATCTGAATAAAGTTTATTCATTCTGGTTGCTATGACTGAAAGAGGTCAAGGGTAAAATTAGGAAGCCTGACTGGGAGGAAATTTACAACAATAATCTAGGCCATGGCGCTTCCCTGGTGGCACAGTGGTTGAGACCTGGCACATCCAATGCAAGGGGGCCAGGTTCCATCCCTGCTCGTGGAGCTGGATCCCGCATGCCTGCCGCAACTGAGAGTTCACATGCCACAACTAAGAAGCCCACATGCCACAACTAAGGAGCCCACTTGCTGCAACTGGGACCCGGCACAACCAAATAAATAATCTAGGCCACGGGGACATGCACCAAGGAGTAGCAGTAAAGAAGGTAAAAAGTGATCAGTCTGGATATGTTTTGATAGATTAAACAAGACTGACTGACATTAAATGTGGGATTTGAAAGAAAGGCGTGAAGGACTCCAGACTGATTTAAGAAGACTAACCTTAAAAGATTAGTCTGCTGCACGGGTAAAATGGTAAGAAAATGTTTAAATCAAAGGCGATTACTGTGACCTTCAAGATGATATAAAAGCTAAATGCCACACTCCCTGTCCTGAAGGAGATACAGTCCTTATAACTTCTCTTTTGTTACTTGTTTGCTCCTGGAGCAGTTATGGACCCCAACTATCGACAACCTAAACATAAACGAAGTAGTTTATTTTAATACATAAAATAGGATCATGGCTGAGCTCACCCTAAAATGTAAAGCTTTTCTGTACTTCATAATAGTTATTTAGATTCTCACTAGTTTTAGGCAGAAATCAAAATGCAGAGGTTTTCTCTTTTTTTAAAATCTATTTTTGTAGAATAAGCAAGGCATACTTGCACATTCCTGTATAAATGCCATCACTTTAAGTCATTAGTAAGAAGTGTCAGATTCGATTAGAACATGTACGTAGGGGATTAGAACATGTACGTAGAAAAGCAACTGGGGAAAGAAATATCAGCTGCTGGCAAAGAGCACTGTTAGAGGAAGGTCACTGTGAAAACGTTGATCCCTCCCTCTCTCTTTCCCCATCTCCTGAACAATCATAGTCAATTAATACCTCACCCACTGGTTCCTCAAAAAGAAGAACAAAAACACAGCAAGTCCTGAAGTTGTCATAAACAACATACATATTTAAAGCAGATGTTTATAAAATAGCTCCCTTTTGAATGCAATCTACTCTCAGCAGTATAAATCCAGTTGGGGGGAGATGCTCCTGTATACTGGGTCAGGGTGTATCTGAATGAGTCAGCAGCTCAATCAGGGGCCCTGTGTATCAGGGACGAAGATCCCCTAGTTGGAAAGCTTGGCCAGTGTCACATGGGGCCAGTTGCTGCAAAGACTCCTCAAAAGTCCAAGCTCTCAAGAAGCCTCTACACACCAGAATCAAAGACATTCCCACTGCTGAAGGGGTCCTAGCATGACTCATCAGAGAGCTGCTATGATGAACAGGGATAAGCATTCAGTATTTCTTAGCATAGGGGTACCTCTCCAACATTCCTCACTCCCTCTTAATTCCAAAATTTCTCAAAGTAGAAGAAAACTCACAATAATGTCATTAACTGGTATAATGTTAAATATTCATATGCCTCAAAGAATCTGGATTAAATGACACTGTGTATTTTTTCAGAAATAAACAACATAGCTTAAAACAAGAATAGAGAAGATTTCTCAAATTCACAAATTACTCTCTGTTAGCATTTTTTGTCATTGAGAATTCCACTTATTTAAGCTGTGGAGTCTCTTTTTTTTTTAACATCTTTATTAGAGTATAATTACAATGATGTGCTAGTTTCTGCTGTATAACAAAGTGAGTCAGCTATACGTATACATATATCCCCATATCCCCTCCCTCTTGCATCTCCCTCCCACCGTCCTTATCCCACCCCTCTAGGTGGTCACAAAGCACCGAGCTGATCTCCCTGTGCTATGCGGCTGCTTCCCACTAGCTATCTGTTTTACATTTGGTAGTGTCTGTATGTCCATGCCACTCTCTCACTTCGTCCCAGCTTACCCTTCCCCCTCCCCATGTCCTCAAGTCCATTCTCTACGTCTGAGTCTGTCTTTATTCCTGTCCTGACCCTAGGTTCTTCAGAATCATTTTTTTTTGATTCCATATATATGTGTCAGCATACGGTATTTGTTTTTCTCTTTCTGACTTACTTCACTCTGTATGACAGACTGTAGGTCCATCCACCTCACTACAAATAACTCAATTTCATTTCTTTTTATGGCTGAGTAATATTCCATTGTATATACGTACCACAGCTTCTTTATCCATTCATCTATCAATGGACGCTTAGGTTGCTTCCATGTCCTGGCTATGGTAAATAGTGCTGCAATGAACATTGTGGTACGTGACTCTTTTTTTTTTTTTTTTTTTTTTTTTGCGGTACGCGGGCCTCTCACTGCTGTGGCCTCTCCCGCTGCGGAGCACAGGCTCCAGACGCGCAGGCCCAGCCGCCATGGCTCACGGGCCCAGCCGCTCCGTGGCATGTGGGATCTTCCCGGACCAGGGCACGAACCCACGTCCCCTGCATCAGCAGGCGGACTTCCAACCACTGCGCCACCAGGGAATCCCCGTGACTCTTTTTTGAGTTATGGTTTTCTTAGGGTACATGCCCAGTAGTCTAATCTTTCTCTAAATACTTTTTAATAGAAATCATTGTATAAAATACTATAATTAAGCAAAGAATTCCAAACAAATATAACCTCTTCCTGATGCTTCATGTTCATTTCTTACTGCACCTTCCAGTGATACAGTAATTCCCCAAAATGCATCTCATTCTCCACAGCCATTTATCCCCATAATGAGGGGGCTCAGACATTATTTTTCACATGCTGTTTCAGATCTTTAATTTCTTGGTCTCCATTTTGATGTCTGAGTGTCAGAATGCCTGCTTCCACCAGTAACACAGCACGTTTCTCCAGTTACCTCCCCCTTATAATTTTTATACTATATTATGTACACAGAGGTAGAAAACTCATTTGTTCATACTGTATATTAAATAAATTAAAGATGGCTTTCCCATCTTTAATTATAAGTAATATAAAGAAACAGCTGGAGGTTTAGATTAATCATGGCCAAAAAAAGAAAAGTACAAACTATATTAAAATTAAAATTGCTGTATTTTATAAGTGTTCACCAATAATAAAATGATCACTACCACACGAAGTCTTCAGAGATTTATCTTGCAGCCTGCTTAAACTATATATACTCCCCAGATGCAGTTTACAGAATAAGTTCTAACACTAAGGGGGTTCTACTTTATATTGAAAGAAAAATCAGGCTGCCCTAAAACATTCTCAAGCTGAAGTAGTGAAAAATATCTCAGGCTCCCATGGTATTTGCTGAAAATTTGTGTTGCTTTGCTATTTATTCAAGCAGTACGGAAAAAATTCAAAACTCCTTCGGGGGAAGAAAATGCACACGCAAACATGCACACACCCTACCTACAAATTCATCTGCCAAAATAAAACAAGTAGTATTTGACGAGAAGAGAACCCTCTAGACAAAAACTCCATACTCTTCATGCTTTAGAAGATGTAATTTTGGACCCTGCATGTGTAATACAGTCACCTAAAGAGCCCAGAACTCATCTCAGACCAATTCATCATTCATAATCTCTGGGTTCTTCTTATTTCCCCTTTCAGAGAGGGAGATCACCGTGGTCAGAGAGAAACTCTTGCGCATCCAAGGAGCACCACAGAGGCAGGGGGAGCTGGAAATTTCAGCCTGTGGTAGGAAAACGGAGCCCCCAGCCTCAGAAGTTTATATTCCTGAACTACAGATTTAAGCCTTGACTCCTCTCTACCTCTGAGCTCTGCAAATAATCCTCAACAACTTCTACCTTCATTCTTTCA